GACGAATCTTGAATGACATTTGATGCACCTGATGGATGGGCGAAAGGATAGATTTTATCCAATTCAGACGTCCCTGTGGCTAAAAGAAAGGAACAAGGAGGCGGTAATATTATGATATGGGCTGGAATTGTAATTCAAACCATTATTGGGCCATTCAAAGTTGATGAAGGAATTAAACTGGACAGTGCTAACTATTGAGATTTTATGAACAAGATTTTCTTTGCGTGGTTCAAGTCCCAGTCACGCAGTTTCAAAGTGAAGTGTTTATTTATACACGACAATGCTCCTTCTCATGTATCTAAGCTTACCCATGAATTGTTTGAACATAAAAGATTTACTGGGGAGAAGATAATGGAATGGCTACCATCAAGTCCTGATCTGAATCCGATCGAAAATCTATGGTGAAGATGAAATGACATGAAGGTAGCAACCAATATAATATCAATGCAAGTCCTGTGGGAAGAAATTAAAGCTACCACGTCGGAAATTGAACCTGCTAAAGGTAAAAAAAAAAAATAACAGAATCAATAGATAATAGATAATACTGGCTGTTATTGAGAAGAAGGGTCACTATATTAAATTGTAAAAGATTCAAAGGCTTATATGTTACTAGCAGTAGAGCCCGGCGTTGTCCGGGGATGTAACAGTAAGAGATAAATCAAGTATCGACCATCATAAAGACTGAAAAATAAAATTGACAAAGATTATTGTTTATGGTTGACGGACACGCATGTCTTAATTAGTTTTCTTTTTGTTTTTTTGTTGTTTTTTTTTTTTTTTTGTTTTTGTTTTTTTTACGATTTGGTCAAACCCAAACTCAAACAAAAACATTGTTTTTCAATCGTCATGAGTCTACCGATTGAATAGAATTTTATTATAAACAATTGTCTTGTAAATGGAATTTTAAAGCATTCTGAATGTAAAAATAAAAAAAAAGTGTGCAAGACAATAAGAAACACTACCTACCAAAAAAAAAAAAAAGAAGTTTTGTTGCAAATCGGTTGAAAAAATAGGAAATCCGATCCCATATATAAACGAACACACACACACAAACAAACAAACAACCCGGGTTTTATAATAAGTATAACTCGATATGAGTTGTCCCTCTTTCATTAATGCCTCTTAATCGTGTTTTCAAATTGATTTCGTGCAAAAACAATTGTGTTTTTCCAATTTTGGGCGCTGTCAGAACCACCGCAAGGTAATTTTACGTAGTCCTGTGAAGTTTTGTTGAAATCGGTTGAAAAATGTAGGAAATCCGATCCAATATATAAACGTACATACACACACACACACACACACACACACACACACAACCTGGGTTTTATAATAAGTATGATTTGTTCTATTATAGGTGCTGATCAATTTTTGATGATTTTATTACCTTTTTATTGAAGTATAATGTAATTATTTGGTTTTGCCTAATAACTTCAGATAAAAGTTTTTTTTATAATGCATCAAATAATTTCAATAACTTCAAAAAGCATATTGATATTACATAAAACCTTAGCCCAGACTTTGTTTACACGTCTAGATTGATTGTTTAAAATTTGACAATTATCTTTCAAACCAAATTTGAATTATTGAAGTTTATATGATTTGCTTAATAACTTCAGACGGGATGTATGTTGGAAAATAAATTCGTATTTTTAAAGGGAAATAAATTTGCATCACTTCTATACTAATTTATTTATTTCGTCTGGTTGAGAGTTTCTTTCGTAGGATTCTTCTTCTACTTTATGTGCCGTGTCCCCTCAGGACGTAGGCGATCATGGCTCTCCACAACTTCCTGTCTTTTGTAGCTCTCAATAAATTTTGTCTTTTTATCTCTCCTCAACCTTGTTCCGCCATTATTTTACTCAAGCTCACTATGTTATGCATTGATTTCTTCTGTCCCTCTTGCCTTCATTCTGCCATGCCAGTATCAGATTTTCCTAGCCTTCTTTCCTTACTATGTGGCCTAGAAATTTCAACTGATTTTTCCTGATGTGTCCTTTTTGTTTCTATTTTCTCTAAAACTTCGTCAATCTTCATATGTTCCGTCCATGTTATCCTCAACGTAGAACCAGATTTCTGTTGCTTCAAGTCTCTTCTTCATCTTTGAGGAGATTGTCCAGCATTCACTGACGTATAGGAGGTCAGATATCACGTAACAGTTCAGTAATATTTTCCTTGTTTCTAAGGAAGTTTTCTGTTCTGTTTCTCAATAACCTGCCTTGAAATGCATCTTTGGCTATCCCAAGGCAACTTCGGATTTAAATGTCGTATTTTCCGTCCTCTGTTAAAACACTTCTTACATATTTCAACTTGTAATTATTTGATTTTGTTTTTCCGATTTGCAATTCTCACCTTAGGCACATTCTTTTGCTAACAAGCATGCATTCTGTCTTCTTGCAGTTGATATTTGATCCTTTCTTCTCACTTTCCTTCACTACCTTCTGTAGGAGTTTTTTGTAGTTTTCTTTCCGTGTCTGCTATCAGCACTGTGTCATCTACATATCTTATGTTGTTAAAATTGTGGCCGCCAATAATGTATCCTGATAGGCATTTTAATTCTCTCAGAATCACCTCGTTACCTTATTTATCAACCAGCCCTTCGTGTAGGATGGAGTGCTGAAAAGTTACCTGATCGACCCACTTCCCTAAATTTGAGCAATGACTAAACATCAAATGAGTTTGGGAACGAGAATAGTTTGTTTATCGTCCAAGAACGTTCCAGTACACAACTCATATATATATATATATATATATATATATATATATATATATATATATGGTATAAGATAACAATTGGAGTTTTTTTTTCTTCCATGTCGACAATATAGTTAAATTCCCAGATCAATTCTGTACAGAACAATGTGAATACGGAAAGAAAAAACTCTTAGTATAAAGGAAAATTACATTAACCAGAGAGAGTCTTACGCAGAAGCGTCTCTCTTTTTTTTTAAATTTGGATTTTTAATGTATCTATAATAACAAAAACATTTTGATTTCGCTTTTGCCTTTTTGTCTTGTCCACAGAATTGATCTGGGAAATTGTATATATATATAGTCGATTCTCCCGCCGAATTCGACGTATGAGGGTCAAGCAGTTCCCAGGAAACCGACAGCCCGACAACAGCACAGATTTGATTATAGTGGTGAAGGTTTTGTGCAGGACCATCCACACTTTTTGAAGGGCCGATTACAGAGACCTGGTGCACTACGTGTCACAAGATTCCCAAACAAACCCTCCGCAGGTTTTGAATTCAGAGTTGTCCTTCTCCTAGACCAGTTGCCATCCAACGCTATAGAACCCATTCTGTACTGCTATTTACCCATAGCTGGAGGGAGAAGAGGATTTATACCTTTCCCAGGGGTATTAGCACGTAAGTGAATGTAATGGATCCGACTGGAACTCGGCTCTGCGATTCCTCAATCCATTACTCCACCGTGCCTCCATACATACATATATATATATATATATATATCCTTCTTTTTTTTTTCGCAGACTTGTGCTAAGAAATCAACCAATAGTATTTATTACACCGAGCACTTCCGGTTTATACTTTTGCTATTTTTAAGCGATAAGTGGCGGGTAATTTTTGTTGAAACAAGGACTATTTACATTTATTCAAACTATTGTCCTCAACTTTGTCGCCAGATGTATTTCAACGTTTCGGCCGCTGTACGCTCCGGTTGGAATGTCGAACTGAACCCTTTATTTCGCTCACTGGGATAGACTGTTTTAGTTCCACGTGCCATGTTTAATGAATGTCAGTTACCTTATATTAATTCCCTTCTCCAGGTTCTCCACTGACTTAACCCGGTATTGAACTCACACTCTTTTGGATCCTGTCACTGGATCTAACCAACGCCTTTATCCATTGTGCCATATGTCCTTACTGTACATAATACCTCATCTTAGAAATATAGACAGTTACGAAACGAGGACTGTCAGTATATTTTGTTTCTGTACTGTACTGTGTGAGAACTTTTTGCAGTACTAATATTTTTAGCTTACAATCATATCAAGTTAAGCAACGTTGAGCCTGGATGGGTAACCGCTTGTGAATGCCAGGTGCTGTAAGCTTGGATGTGCAGGTGGTGCAGTGGGCAACGGTTCGGGATGAAAAATAAAAAAAATGTGTTTAAATTCCAGTCGAGTTCGTTACATTCATTTAGACGCAAATAACATCACTATTCATGGTGCGTCTCTTCTCCCTCGAGCTATGGGTTAAATAGTAATACAAACTGGTGTCCTATAGCCTTGGTTGGCAAACATTCGCAGAAAGTAACGGCAGCCTACTGCGGGAATACTTCTTCCAAGTCATGAATCGAAAAGAAAAGCGTGGATCCCACAACGCACCTAAGAAAGCAATATCATTTCAGTTTCTGAATACAGCCAAAACCGCTTGACCCCGTTCGAAAAAAGCGCTTTTTTTTTTAGAAATTCAAATATATTAAAATTAGTTCTTATAAGCGTTGACAATTGCACATACCACCTGACGACTGGGCTGAAGTTCCTATTTTCTTTCGAGCTTCCAAGTTGGTCGCATGTACTGTCTAGTTAAATCTCATTTCTGTTGCGTCAAGTTTCTGTAAGTAGATTGTCCAATATTCACTACCATATTGGAGATTATATATTACATAGCAGTTCGGTATTTTCTTTATTTTATCTACGAAATCTCCTTTTTCATGTCTCTGCTAAAATACCACCTTCTTTGTTTCTATCTATCTTTCTTTTTTGCTTCCATCTTCCTTTTCCTTTTTTTCTTCTTCCATCTATCTTTCTTTCTTTCTTTCTGTTTTGTTTCCATCTTTCTTTTAGTTTCTTTCTTTTTTCTCTCCATCTTTCTTTCATTTTTGTTTCCATCTTTCTTTTCTTTTTCTTTCCATCTTTCTTCTTTCTTTCCATCTTTCTTTCTTTCTTTCTTTTCATCTTTCTTTCTTTTTACCCTTCTTTCCTACTTTTCTTCCTTCTTTCTTTCGTTTTTTTTTCCTATCATTTTCTCTTTCTTACATCGTTTCTCGTTCGATCACCGAAGTTAAGCAACGTCAAGCCTGGTCAGTACTTAGATGCGGATCCGTTTGGGAACACCAGGCTCTGTAAGCAATTTCCTACAATCCGAAATATGTTTCGGCTTTAATAACCCACAAAGGGTTGATAAGCCATAAAAAAAATCAATTCATTCATTTATTTTTATTTTTATTTTTATTTCCTACATCCATTTCTTCCTATTATCTGGCTTTCGTTTTTTCTTTCTTTTTTATCTTTCTTTTCTGCGTTCATTCCTTATTTTCTTTTTTCTTTTCTTTTCTTTTTTCTTTCGTTTTTTCTTTCTTCTTTACCCTTCTTTTCTACGCCCATTCCTTCCTTCTTTCTTTTCTTTCGTTTTTCTTTTGTTTTTATCTTACTTTTCCACGTTCATCCCTTCTTTATTTCTTTTCTTCCTTTTTCTTTCCTAGTTTCTTTCTTTCCTAGAGTTTTTATTTTTTAATCTTTTTTTACTTTTATCCCTTCTTTATTTTCTCCTTTTTTATCATACTTTCTTTCTTTCGTTTTTTCTTCCATATTTATCATTCTTTTCTACGTTAATTTCTTCTTTCTTTCTTTTCTTCCTTTTTCTTTCCTACTATCTTTCTTTCGTTTTTTACTTTCTTTTTATTCTTCTTTTCCAGGTTCATTCATTCTTTCTTTTCTTCCTTTTTTTCCGACTTACTTACTTTCGTTTTTAGTTTCTTTTTTATCCTCCTTTTTTACGTTCATTCATTCTTTCTTTTCTTTCTTATTCCTTTCTACTTTCTTTCGTTTTTTCTTTCTTTTTTATCCTCCTTTGCTATGTTCATTCCATCTTTCTTTCTTTGTTTTCTTCCTATTTATTTCCACTTTCTTTCTTTCTTTTTTCTTTCTTTCTAACACCACTCTTTTTAACTCCTTCTTTTTCTTTCTTTTCATAAAATCTATCACTTGTCTCTAGCCCTTCTTTTTTTTTCCTATTCACACTTCTATTAATTTCTTGAAAACAGATCCTTTCTCTCCTGTTTCGTTTTCTTTAATCATTTCTTTACTCTCTTTTCCTCTCGTCTCTCTTCTCATCCCGCCTATTATTTACCAATCTGCATTCCTCCCGTTCATTACCCTTACTCTTCTGCCCCCTTTTATTTTCTTTCTTTTTTTTCTTTCTTTTAGTTTCATCTTCCCATTTCATTTTCTTTTTTCTTCTCTGTATTCAGATAACCTTTTTCGTTCCATCTTCTATCCATTTTCGTCCTTTCGTCTCATCTCATCTCATCTCGTCTCATCTCGTCTCGTCTCGTCTCGTCTCACGTGTCTGCGTCAGTCCGGTCAGTAAACAAACTGATAAGATACTTTCTCTATCTACTTTGAATCAGATTGAATTTCAAACACTCATTTTTTTTCTTCTTCTAATCTGTCTTCGACTCACTCCCCATTACACAAAAGAGGAATTCATACCCTTGGCAATTTGACGAGAATTCCATTTTCTTCTTAATGAAATCTCAAATAATCTGCCGTTTTATTTATTTTTTTTTGGGGGGGGGTGTTTGTTTTTTTTTTTTTTTTTGGTGGGGGCGCAATCAGAAAGATTTCGTTAGAAACAAAGAAAAGAGTACTGAACAACTTGTCCTCCTATATGCCAATGAATGCTGGACAATCTCCTCAAAGATGAAGAAGAGACTTGAAGCAACAGAAATGTGGTTCTACAGAAGGATGCTGAGGATACCATAGAGCGAACATGTGAACAAACGTATACTTAACAAAAGGAAGGGACAGTTGAAATTTATAGGGAACATAATAAGGAAAGAGGGTTTGGAAAATCTGATACTCACAGGATCGATTGAAGGCAAGAGGGACAGAGGAAAACAATGCATAACCTGCTTGAGTAAATGGATGGCGTAACAAGGTTCAGGAGAGATAAAAAGACAAAATTTATTAAAAGCTACAAATGACAGGAAATTGTGGAGAGCTATGATCGCCTACGTCCGAAAGAGACAAGTTACATAAAGAAAAAGGTTGACATATATTAGCAAAATATGTTCAAAGATTGTTGATATATGTTAAGCCTAGTTTATTTGCTACAAGTTCAAAATACAATTGAATCAAAAACACTAACAAAGGTTTAATAAGACTAACTTATTAATTACCTCTCTGCGGCAGGAACCCCATTGTTTCTAAAATCTATGAGTGATTTGTGATTTGTAAAGATTGCACTCTCCTATTCTGTATTTGATAGCATTATGCTTCTTTGAAATGTAAATTAACAACAGCAAACGTGTTTTCAATTAACAGCTAGGTTCGAATAGTAGATAGATTCACCTATCGCCCGGTTCATACCCCTACCAGTCGTTTGAACAGGAGTAGAGGTTTATCCCTTGTTTCCTGTTTAGGATTGGGTTTCCGGTTCCTTTTCATTTTCTTTCTGCTATATACCTTACCTATAAACACTTATGAGTATGTCCCAATCATCATAAATACGCTGGACACTATTGTAGGGGGGTAATATGGTGTCTAAGTAGTGCACCACTAGCAGTGGTTTACCTACTTCACGCCGCTGGCGAGTATTGTATTTTGTTGATGTTTCATTTCCATTACCAACCTCTTTTTTGGTTATTCCTCATTCAGTAACCCTTTCTACGTTACAACACTTTCACTCCAAGTAACCGCTTGCATCTTAGTGTCATTATCGCCTTACTTGTGGGGATATTGATTAAAAAAATAGTAATTCCGTATAAAATAATTTCCCGTTTTCGCTTTTGTTATTTTGATTTGAGCACGCTTTTAAAAAATACATTCATAGTTTTCGGTCCAATTTAACCTGTATCAGTCTATATTTCTGAGATGAGGTATTATGTACACTATTTACATTATTCGGACTATTGTCCTCATCTTTGTTGCCATATTTATCACAACGTTTCGGCCGTTGTACGCTCCGGCTTTCTTCAAGTGGTTGGAATGTCGAACCACATGGCACAGTGGATAAAGTCGTTGGTTAGATCCAGTGACAGGACCCAAAGAATTGTGAGTTCAATACCTGGTTAAGGCAGTGGAGAATTTGGAGAAGTGAATTAACAGGAGATAACTGATAACTGACATCCATTAGACATGGCACGTGCAACTAGAACAGTCTACTCCAGCGAGCGAAATAAAGGGTTCAGTTCGACATTCCAACCCCCTGAACAAGGCCGGAGCGTACAGTGACCGAAAAGTTGTGATAGATATGGCAACAAAGATGAAAACAATAGTCCGAATAATGTAAATAATGCCAATTTAAACTGTTTATAATTTAGTGTTTCCTTTCTGAGATGAGTAATTGTCAATCTTCTTGTATTATTTCGAGCTATTGTCCCCATCTTTGTTGATATAAGTGTTATGAAACGTTGCCTATAACAGTTGTGGGGAAATAAGACCAAGGAATTCTTACCTACCCGTGGCTAATAGGCCATGATGTCTCGCCTGCTCAGTCAGTGTTACCATTTGCAATTTAGGCAAAGCGCATGCATGGTTCTACTGCTTTTAAAACTATCGCTAATTTGTATGCGTGGTCAAAAATCTGAATAGAAGGTGATCCGCACAGCCGAATTAGAACCTGAACTTGTCAACTACAATGATATCTATCTGAAAAGGATGAAACAAAGTGGAGAATTTTATTAAAGACGTGTTTCACCGAACAAGCGTATGTCCTCTATGGTTTCATCAGTTTAAAACTGTGTGTGAGGAAAATTCTTTGGGAAGGTGATAAGCTAGGGTAATTAATTTGATTTGATACCCACTTACCCCCAGATATCCCAAGGCATTTTTCTTGTCTTTTTAATCATTTCTCCCCAAGTATGACGATAAAGCCACAAAGACGCAAAGGGTTACTGAAGATGAAAGACGATAGAGTGAATGAAACTAAGAAAACGTTTGTGAGGAGAATAGACAATAAAAAGAAGGTGATTCAAGGCGACAGAAAATGACGATTGACGTTGCATTTAATTTTTTGTAGATTATAGTTGACAGGATATTAAGAAGGTGGAAGATAGACGAGAGATACGAGAGAGAGAAAAAAGACTTTTAGAATAAAACTCACATTTAAAGGGTGTTTCATTAAGACGGATCAAAGTCAGCAATAAATAAATCAGTGTTATTGGTGAGAAATTATTTATTTCTCTATTGGATCATGTTATTTAAGTCATGGCAATTATGTGTAAAAAGTAATATTGCCCAAATGTCCGTCAAGGCTTTGGCGGTACACCTCCACTCGATGGTCAAAATTTTTGATGATGTCTCTGCATAGTTGCTTCTCGATCTCACTAATATGCCTTATTATCTCATCCTTCAGTTGTTGAATCGTTGTTGGCTTCTTGACCTTACTTTTGAGATGGCCCCAAAGGAAGAAATCTAAAGGCGTTGACTTCGCTGTTTCGAGAGATGATGCGACCTGGGAAATTCTCATTCAATGAAGCCATTGTTGCATTGGATGTGTGGCATTTGACGCCGTTCCTGTTGGAACCACAAATCTTAGATATCCATAACATTCAATTCAGACCATAAAAAGTTGGTTATCATGGCACGGTATCGCACGCCTGTTAGCGTAACAGAATTCCCGGCATCGTTTTCAAAGAAATACGACCCAATGATTTTGCTAACAAAAAATGCACACCAAAGACTGACTCTTTGTGGATGCAATGACTTTTCAACAATCTTCCTTGGATTTTCATTAGCACAAATGCGAGAATTCTGCTTATTAATGAATCCACCAAGATGAAAATGGACTCCATCACTAAAAGAGGATTTTTTGCGAAAAATTTTCATAGGCATGTCTTTGCTCGTGCACCCAATTTATAAGAACTGGCGGCCTCGAGTGTTTTCGTCATTTATAATCTAATTATCCAGCATTGACAGTCGTTTCGGATGCTAGACATTACATAGAAACTTGTTTCTTCCTTTCTCGTGTTATTTTTCGATCCTTTACTATTTTGCTTGAAAGGCTTTTTCGTTGTGCCTTCGTATTTTTTGCGTCACTCTTTCCGTCGTCTGTTCCTACACTAAGCAGAGAGCTCGATTGATTCACCTGATTTATAAGATAGCTCACAGAAAGAAAACTGCAG